GGTACTACTCTTCATATTGTTCGATTACAACAAATACTGTATACGAGTAATATAAAATGAGTTCGTGTGCTCTTCCGGTTTTATCATTTCATAAGAAGAAGCAGAAAATTATTTAACAAAACAGAAAATATACTATTTCTTCTGTATGCAACACTACGTAGTATGAATATTCTTAAATATGAATGAACGCTTGTCAGTAATACCCCCCACAAATTTTTGAAATGGTGTTTAACATATCCTCAACTCGTTGTAAGAATCATTAACCCAAAGAAAAACTATAATAATAAACTATATATCCGTAAATAGTACTTATTTTAAATTTCTGGCAAATTTTCTGCAGAAATTAACTTTAAATCTTCAGCAGTCACTTGTCAAAGTCATCAGTGAGACACCTCAATTAAGGATTGATCATTAAGTATTGCATTTAGATCAATTAACAATAAGTACAGATCATCACGTTTACAACAAATTCAAGTTGTTTTATCGTTTGTTTACGACAGCTCAAACTAATCAAAACAAACTATCGTCTGCTACGATTCTTATACTTTATATTGGAAAAACGTTACGTTAAGTTATGCTAGCAGGCCAAAAAGACAACGCGTAAACCCTTCAAACCAATCAGGTTCATTCAGGTCCATTGTGATACCATATCAGTGTATTATTTCGATAGATAGTGTGCATCACTTTGGATGCACGTGTTATTAGCAAATTTTAGTAAAATTTCAACAGTAACCTCAGGCATGTACTCCAGTTCTGTAAAACTGACAGCTCACAAGTATTTTGTCGAGTTCTCGAGAGATCCGAGCATTTACATAGCAGATGCTTCAGAGTTTCTTTACGAAGAGATTCTATATAAAAATATTGTTCCAAAAGTGACTGTTAAAATGGAATTATATATAGTCATTGTTTCTTTTAAACATATGGTATATAAGAGGTTTGAAATTGGATTTAGGGTCTACCTGCCAATCATTCCATGAATATATGTTATCTTTTTTTGTATTTAATTTTAACTCAAAAAGAAGATTTTAAAAATTACGTATTTGTGAGATAATGGCGGTACGACTATATGTATGTGGTTCAGATATTCCAATTGTGGTCCTGTAGTATCGCACCTTCTTACTAGACTCATAGAAGAGAAATATTGGAATCTTTGTTCAGATATTTGTTCAGAGATACATAGTAGGCAGTAGCGAGGCGTCAGCTTTTTGGCAAGGTGTTCACAATTTAATCAAAACAGAATTCCCCCTACTCCTGAGTTTTGTCTTTCCACAAGCAAATAGCGTACAAGACCAACAAAACAATTTATTTAAATATTCGCAGCCTGTGATCCACTGGTTTTTATTTACCATAAAGCTGTAGCTGTAGAAAAACAATTACTTACCACAGTTTTCGACATTTTTACATCAGGTATGAAATTCTTCATATTTGGAGTTGGTCTATTCATTTTATGAATTAAAATCTGTTTTTCAGAATATCGTTTAAAAAAAGATATTTGAATCAAATCTTTAATCACATATTTATCCATTTCTAAATATTATTTTTCACTTCAAATTTCTTTAACCTCTTTTTTTACTTTTACCATTTTCTAGTATAAAATTGCAATAATGACTTTGTTTTGATTTATTTCCAACCTCTATATAAGAGTAAGAAACTCTCATGCATTCATTTACTCTTTTACTTTGTATTTACAATGCTCGGTTCAGTTTTTATACTGAACCATTTCCCCATATAAAACAGCAACCGTGACTTTGATTGTATTTGCACGCTTTGTATAAACTTTTGGTTCAGTTTAGTGGAATGATCCTCTCGTCAAATGTAAAGCGATTTTCGCTCAGTCATTTCTTTTCTCTTTTGTATTTACTTTGCATAACATTGGGAGTGCACTTTTTTTATTGAACTGCTTGCACGCATTAATTTAAGAGTTAAGATTATTTTACGTACATATATTTGTTTGTATGTTTTGTGTTGTGTATTCAATATTGAACATAGTCCCAATGTGAATGTTATTTCATTTGCATGCTTTGTAAGCAACGCGGTGCAGTTTTTAATCTGCACCTTAGTATATTTCAAGAGAAATGTGTTTTCCCTTTTATTAATTATACGTAATGTTGGGTGTAACTAACATTTGTATGTGTGATTTTGTTGGTATTCTACGTTTTGTGTTTATGTTAATCTGTTTGGAAAAGCTATTATAAAAAATGTTAAGTAGCAATATAGC